TCTACTGCACGCTTGAGGTTGAACGATGAAGTGCTCCTGGGTTTGGAGTTTGGAGCTATGGTACCAGACGTATGTCAAGCTTTGCATGTCCAAAGGTCCGGCACAAAGTAATGTAGAGAGAGAGAGAGAAAAAAAAAAAAAAAAAAAAAAAAAAAAAAAAAAAAAAAAAAAAAAAAAAAAAAAAAAAAAAAAAAAAAACGAGAGAGAGAGAGAGAGAGCGAGAGCGAGAGTGAGACACAGACAGTGAGAGAGAGTTTTTTTGACTTTGAAGTCGCAGAACCGTCCCCTGGTCCCATGAGCGGCGACGACACGTCCCATATGGACGCGGCTGACTGGAGCTGTGGCAAGCCACATCGCCAAAGGTAACAAACTGAAAGCAACGCTATCAACTGAAAAGAACTAAGAGCAGATCCGGCGTCGCTTACTACACAAATCACGAAGTGAGAGAGAGTGAGAGAGAGTGAGAGAGAGTGAGAGAGAGTGAGAGAGAGTGAGAGAGAGTGAGAGAGAGTGAGAGAGGGTGAGAGAGAGTGAAAAAAGAGTGAGAGGGAGAGAGAGATGCTACTGAAGCATGCGACCCCTGCAAAGCCCCCTGCAAGCAGCGCGGGCGTTTTTGGACATCGTAGAGTATACAATAGGACTCATTTGGGTTTAGGGTTTAGAGTCTGAGGCGGCTTGCACCCTGGGGGTTCGGGGCGGAAGGTCATTGGGCTTGAAGCTGGATCCATTTTTTGCGAGCCTCCGCTCTGTACACTGCCCTCGGCGGGCCGCGCCGGCTGAGCGCAGCCGGCTCAGTGTTAGGTTAAAAGGAGAGCTTAGAAAAGTTTAGGCCTCGGCTGCGGCACGCAGCGGCGAGGCGGTGTAGTTGGCCCAATCACCCCAAGCACTGCCGGTGAGCCCATCCTGCGCATTGACAAGGTGACCAGGTGCTGCGACGCGCAGCATAAGGAAAAAAGCTGAATGCAACAGCTAGCGACTAGTTAGCGGCTAACGCATGCTCGTGCAACGTTGGACAAGTTTGTCCCATGTCACGTGTCCTGAAAGAACATGCCGATGATGGCCATCATCGCAAGCCTTCCGTTGGCCAACTCCGCTGACAATTTTTTCGTCTTCTCAGCGGGGTCGCTGGACGTCAAGACCTTGAACCCGAAGTCACCCGCTGCGGCCGGAGTTCCGGCAGACTGATCCTGAGAGACTTCGCAGAAGGCCATGTACGCCAGAATCTGTCCCCACCCTGCGGCAGGAACCTTGGAAATGGCTGCAAGGCCATTGGGGACATCGGCAAACTTCAATCCTGCTGATGGCGACAGAAAACCTGGGAACTTGCCCGTGATCCTTGGTCAGCCATACACCATCGTGCAATGCAAAGTCATCATGTGCTCAAGAAACTCTCGTGACATGCACACTGCACGGCTCACAAGATCTCACTCGAGCACCTGAGACACCCCTAACGCAACACGCACGCAGAACGAACTACATGTCATCTGAGTCGCTCTGGCGTGATGTATCCCATTGTCGCGAGCATGGCGATGCGGCCGTGCTTGATTTCAGTCTGGCGACGACGCTTGAAGTCCTCCACGCTTCCGTCGGCCGTAAAACCGGCGGGGTCCCAAAATCCAACAGGATCCTGGACACCGAGCTCGTTCTCGAAGGCACGCAGCGGCGAGGCGGTGTAGTTGGCCCAATCACCCCACGCACTGCCAGTGAGTCCATCCTTCACATTGACAACGCGCTGCGACGTGCAGCATAAGGAAAAAAGCTGAATGCAACAGCTAGCAACTAGTTAGCGGCTAACGCATGCTCATGCAACGTTGGACAAGTTTGTCTCATGTCACGTGTCCTGAAAGAACATGCCGATGATGGCCATCATCGCAAGCCTTCCGTTGGCCAACTCCGCTGACAATTTTTTCGTCTTCTCAGCGGGGTCGCTGGACGTCAAGACCTTGAACCCGAAGTCACCGGCTGCGGCCGGAGTTCCGGCAGACTGATCCTGAGAGACCTCGCAGAAGGCCATGTACGCCAGAATCTGTCCCCACCCTGCGGCAGGAACCTTGGAAATGGCTGCAAGGCCATTGGGGACATCGGCAAACTTCAATCCTGCTGATGGCGACAGAAAACCTGGGAACTTGCCCGTGATCCTTGGTCAGCCATAGACCATCGTGCAATGCAAAGTCATCATGTACTCAAGAAAATTCTTGTGACATGCACACTGCACGGCTCACAAGATCTCACTCGAGCACGTGAGACACCCCTAACGCAACACGCACGCAGAACGAACTACATGTCATCTGAGTCGCTCTGGCGTGATGTATCCCATTGTCGCGAGCATGGCGATGCGGCCGTGCTTGATTTCAGTCTGGCGACGACGCTTGAAGTCCTCCACGCTTCCGTCGGCCGTAAAACCGGCGGGGTCCCAAAATCCAACAGGATCCTGGGCACCGAGCTCGTTCTCGAAGGCACGCAGCGGCGAGGCGGTGTAGTTGGCCCAATCACCCCACGCACTGCCAGTGAGTCCATCCTTCACATTGACAACGCGCTGCGACGTGCAGCATAAGGAAAAAAAGCTGAATGCAACAGCTAGCAACTAGTTAGCGGCTAACGCATGCTCATGCAACGTTGGACAAGTTTGTCTCATGTCACGTGTCCTGAAAGAACATGCCGATGATGGCCATCATCGCAAGCCTTCCGTTGGCCAACTCCGCTGACAATTTTTTCGTCTTCTCAGCGGGGTCGCTGGACGTCAAGACCTTGAACCCGAAGTCACCCGCTGCGGCCGAAGTTCCGGCAGACTGATCCTGAGAGACCTCGCAGAAGGCCATGTACGCCAGAATCTGTCCCCACCCTGCGGCAGGAACCTTGGAAATGGCTGCAAGGCCATTGGGGACATCGGCAAACTTCAATCCTGCTGATGGCGACAGAAAACCTGGGAACTTGCCCGTGATCCTTGGTCAGCCATACACCATCGTACAACGCAAAGTCATCATGTGCTCAAGAAAATTCTTGTGACATGCACACTGCACGGCTCACAAGATCTCACTCGAGCACCTGAGACACCCCTAACGCAACACGCACGCAGAACGAACTACATGTCATCTGAGTCGCTCTGGCGTGATGTATCCCATTGTCGCGAGCATGGCGATGCGGCCGTGCTTGATTTCAGTCTGGCGACGACGCTTGAAGTCCTCCACGCTTCCCTCGGCCGTAAAACCGGCGGGGTCCCAAAATCCAACAGGATCCTGGACACCGAGCTCGTTCTCAAAGGCACGCAGCGGCGAGGCGGTGTAGTTGGCCCAATCACCCCACGCACTGCCAGTGAGTCCATCCTTCACATTGACAACGCGCTGCGACGTGCAGCATAAGGAAAAAAGCTGAATGCAACAGCTAGCAACTAGTTAGCGGCTAACGCATGCTCATGCAACGTTGGACAAGTTTGTCTCATGTCACGTGTCCTGAAAGAACATGCCGATGATGGCCATCATCGCAAGCCTTCCGTTGGCCAACTCCGCTGACAATTTTTTCGTCTTCTCAGCGGGGTCGCTGGACGTCAAGACCTTGAACCCGAAGTCACCGGCTGCGGCCGGAGTTCCGGCAGACTGATCCTGAGAGACCTCGCAGAAGGCCATGTACGCCAGAATCTGTCCCCACCCTGCGGCAGGAACCTTGGAAATGGCTGCAAGGCCATTGGGGACATCGGCAAACTTCAATCCTGCTGATGGCGACAGAAAACCTGGGAACTTGCCCGTGATCCTTGGTCAGCCATACACCATCGTGCAATGCAAAGTCATCATGTACTCAAGAAAAACTTGTGACATGCACACTGCACGGCTCACAAGATCTCACTCGAGCACCTGAGACACCCCTAACGCAACACGCACGCAGAACGAACTACATGTCATCTGAGTCGCTCTGGCGTGATGTATCCCATTGTCGCGAGCATGGCGATGCGGCCGTGCTTGATTTCAGTCTGGCGACGACGCTTGAAGTCCTCCACGCTTCCGTCGGCCGTAAAACCGGCGGGGTCCCAAAATCCAACAGGATCCTGGACACCGAGCTCGTTCTCGAAGGCACGCAGCGGCGAGGCGGTGTAGTTGGCCCAATCACCCCACGCACTGCCAGTGAGTCCATCCTTCACATTGACAACGCGCTGCGACGTGCAGCATAAGGAAAAAAGCTGAATGCAACAGCCAGCAACTAGTTAGCTGCTAACGCATGCTCATGCAACGTTGGACAAGTTTGTCTCATGTCACGTGTCCTGAAAGAACATGCCGATGATGGCCATCATCGCAAGCCTTCCGTTGGCCAACTCCGCTGACAATTTTTTCGTCTTCTCAGCGGGGTCGCTGGACGTCAAGACCTTGAACCCGAAGTCACCGGCTGCGGCTGGAGTTCCGGCAGACTGATCCTGAGAGACCTCGCAGAAGGCCATGTACGCCAGAATCTGTCCCCACCCTGCGGCAGGAACCTTGGAAATGGCTGCGAGGCCATTGGGGACATCGGCAAACTTCAATCCAGCTGATGGCGACAGAAAACCTGGGAACTTGCCCGTGATCCTTGGTCAGCCATACACCATCGGGCAATGCAAAGTCATCATGTGTACTCAAGAAAAACCTTGTGACGTGCACGCTGCACGGCTCACAAGATCTCACTCGAGCAACGTGGGACAGCCCTAACGCAACACGCAGAACGAACTACATGTCATCTGAGTCGCTCTGGCGTGATGTATCCCATTGTCGCGAGCATGGCGATGCGGCCGTGCTTGATTTCAGTCTGGCGACGACGCTTGAAGTCCTCCACGCTTCCGTCGGCCGTAAAACCGGCGGGGTCCCAAAACCCAACAGGATCCTGGACACCGAGCTCGTTCTCAAAGGCACGCAGCGGCGAGGCGGTGTAGTTGGCCCAATCACCCCACGCACTGCCAGTGAGTCCATCCTGGAAGAACCTCAACATGCAAGCAGTTCAACAAGGTCGGCAAGAGTGTCGTCGAACTTGTTACGCAGGCTTCATTTGAAGGAGGCAACTTTGGGGAACTCTGGTCTGCAGCCCCGGAGCATGCCGATGATGGCCATCATCGCCAGTCGGCCATTTGCCAACTCGGCACTCCTCTCACGCCCACCCCCTCCCCCGCTGCTTTTTGAGATCACGCCAAAGCACACGAAAATTGAAAAAGAGGTCGCCCGAAAGCCCTTCTGAAGACACGACCCAGGCTCAGCTTCTTGGTCTTCTCGGCCGGGTCGCTGGAGGTGAGAACCTTGAAGCCGAAGTCTCCAGCATAGGCCGCGGTGCCCGGCTCCTGCGTCTGGGAGGCCTCGGGCTTCTCCAAGAGATGCAAAACGTGCGGCACTGCCACGTGCAAGGCCCTAACCGTGTGTTGCAGTGGCTAACCAAACTTGAGGCAGCGGTGGCTCTTCTTTTTTCCACACACATGCATTCATAGAAAGCATAGAGGATGGTTCAGGACGCAGAAAACACAGGACTCCTGTGATCCGGCCTCGCAGTAGGCCATGTACAGCAGGATCTGGCCCCAACCAGCCTGGGGCACCTCTGCAGACTGCGAAGGGAGAAGGGGCGACGAAGAAGTGCAAAGATTCGGAAAGTGGATCGCGTCTCCATTCTCTGCTCACGACATGAGAGCGAAAAAAAGCGACTGATGAACGAGTCTAAGGCACGCAGGCCCTACGAGTAACATCCCCCCTCCCCCGGCAACCCTTGCACCTTGGAGATGGCTGCCAGGCCGTTGGGCACGTCGGCGAACTTCAGTCCGGCAGATGGGCTCAAGTACCCTGGGAACTTGCCCGTGATCCTCAGACCAAGACGCAGCGGTCAGCTTCACGTGTCTGCTTGCACTCATGTCTGAGAACTGCTCCTTACTGGGGGGAAAAAACAAGGAGGATGCAAGGGTGCCGCAAGGGATGCCGCAAGGGATGCTGCAAGGGATGCCGCAAGGGATGCCGCAAGGGATGCCGCAAAGGATGCCGCAAAGGATGCCGCAAACAACAAAATTTGGGACAAGCCGCTCTGGGGTGATGTAGCCCATCGTTGCCAGCATCGCCTCAGGCACTTCGGGTCTTCGCCCGGAGATGGCGGCAGAAATTGTGCCAGGCTAGGATGCATGGCGGGGCGCACTCGAACGTGGGGTCGCGAAAGAGAAGCCGCGAACGCACATGTCTGCAAACCCTGTATAACGTGGTTACCATACTCTCCACGGGAGATCCCGGTGCGCACAAACCAGGGAGGCTTATGGACGTGCGTATTCGCAATGTTCATGAATACGATATAATACGATGTGCGAATTTGGGCGAACATGAGCGAATCCTCGCGGCACGGATGCAGCCCAGTTGCAATGCGCCCGTGCTTGAGCTCGGTGGCCCGTCGGCGCTTGAAGTTCTCTACGCTGCCGTCCGCACCTGCACACGGGGCGGCGGGTTCGGCGTTCTCGGTTTGCACGGAGGCGCTAAAGGCAAGCGCCGGCCCTGAAACTCAAACCGCGATCCCAAACCCTCCAACGCCAGCCAAGGCGCTCAGGCCGGCGGGGTCCCAGAAGCCCACGGGCGCCTGCGCAGCTCATGACAGTTCGGAAGGTGCGTGGAAGGCTTCATGTTCTGAACCGGTCTAAAGTGTCAACTGCCTTCCTCTAGGGCGACACAACGGCACGCAAACCTCTCAGGATTTCTCTGACCTACGCCTGCGCTCTATCGGTAGTCCTAGCGATGTCAGCCGCACGAGCCAGTGTCCAAAAATGTCCAAGAAGAAAGGAGACCGTGGACCTGAACGCCGAGCTCGCTCTCAAAGGCGCTGACGACCACCTGTGGCAGAAGGTCCCTTGGGGGGTCTGGGGACATCACTAGGACTTCAGGATACTTCTTGGATCTTCTTGGGATCTTTCTGATTCTTCTTGGGGCACAGGCACAAAGGAGAGGCCCGCCCCACTTCCAGCCCAAAGCACCAGCCCAAAGCAGGCCCCCCCCGTCGCACCTGGGACTTGCGGCTGCTGGCCTGCACTTGGAATTCTTTGGGCTGAGCGAGGTAAAGGTCGCAGGGCCCCACTGAAACCAGAAAAGTCCCCAGAACCGATAACCCCACATGCTCCAGTCATGTACCCCCAAGGCGTGGGGCTCCCCATCCGCACTCAGAGCCCACTCCGAAACAGGAAAAAATCGCTCCAGACATCACCCGACCCTAACTACGTCTCGCAACCCGAGCCCCGAACCTGAGAGAACCCCTCCCCCTGGGGACCCGGTCCTTGCCCCGGAGCTGCGCTGCTAGGAGGGCCTGCAGCGCGAGAGGGAGGGAGGAGTGATGGCGCTGCTACCCTGAGCCTTTTCTGCGCCTTTCTTCAACCCGAAGCCCACACACACGCACGCCCCGGCGCATGCCGGAGTGCTCCCTGAAAACGCTCCCTGAGAACGCTGAGCGGCTGATGCCGAAGCCACGGTCGTGCAGCCAAGAAGGCTTGAGGAGCTGCTGCCTGGTCAGAGGTCCAGGAGCGTCACTTTGTTCGCGCTTTGGCAAAGGCGGCTGACTGCGCCTTCGGCGCTCCTCTGCGCCGCTACTCGGCCGCGCAGCTGAACGCTGCTTCGCTCCGGGGCAGCCTGCGCTCAGTGTCAGGCATGCTGACAAAGCGGCCTGTGACCCCATGTGCGTGAGAGAGAGAGAGAGAGATAATGTGTGTGTGTGCATGTTCTATGACATTGTACGACCTTGAGTCCTTGAGGATTGAGCAGATTCTTTCTGAGCTTCGAAGGAGTTCGAAGCTCGAAATGCCCTATGTCCCGCGTGCCCCCCTACCCGCCCACCAAATACAGGGGTCGCTTGAAAAGCTCAGGTGTGGGAATGTGTGGGACGTTTGTTCTTTCTGCCTTGCCCTGGCATCACGGATTTTGCAGCCGTGACCAAGCAAGAGTCCGAAATCGACAGCAACGCTTTGCCAAACGTGCCCTTCTCGAAAAGGGCATAGAATCTCCCACCGTTCTTCGAAATTCCCAAGACATCCCAAGACGGTTTGCCGACACCATGGGGTTCAAAAGCTTGCGCTCTGGATCGTGATCCCGTCACAGTCCTGCGCCATCCTGCGCCATCCTGCGCCATCCTGCGCCGAACGCGCCTTCGCGAAGCGTCGCCTGTGGCCTTTGGCTTCGCCATGCTGCTCCCTGCGTCCCGCGCCCAGTCCGTGGTCTCAATCGCGCTGCCGCTATCCTGGCCTTGGACTTTGGGCCTTGGACCGCGCCTCTGCTGAGTGCTTGAGTGACATTGAGTGACACTTGCCCAAAAACACCTGAGCTCCAGCAAAATCTAGCCCACGTTACTGCTGGGGCCTGACCGGCTGGACTGCTCTGCACGAAGGCCTGGGCATGGAAACATGCAAAACTCATCTCTCTTTTCCGCCTTTTCCTCCCTTGTTCATGCCTACATGACATCCATACCCACCCCGTCACGATAACACTTTGCTGCCTTTCCTCTTCACACCACTTCGCACCTGCAAACCCTGAACCACAACCCCGGCGAGCTTCATCAAGTTGCAACGGCGTTGCTGCATCTTGCTGCCCAAGCTGCCCTAGAGGCCAACGTGGCCGCCGCACCAGCGGCGACAGCCATGGCAGTCTTCTGGCCTTTGCCGGGTTCAGGTTTCAGGGTTTGGTGAGTGCCAGTGTTCGGTTAAACCAGGTACTTGGGATATCCGAACTGGCTTTCGTCGGTTGCGACTCTTGCGACATGTTCTGACCCTGGGATCAAGGTGCCATTTCAGCCACTGAAAATCGCCCCAAAAGGGGGCGCGCAGGTCCTCGATCTTTCTTTCGCGAAGAGCAAAGCCGGGTAAGGCGTTGGGATCATTTCGAAGGGGAGGAGGGGGCTTGCTGGTGGCGGTGCTCCTGCTACAAGCATCTGCAACACGACAGACACCCCGTCACCCCAAACGGCCCCAAGCTCGCGCAATCTGGAGGCCCCCCGCTTGAGGGCATGGTTGCAGATGTTGCAGCGACTGGAGGAAAATCTAAGGTACCAGTCAGAATCTGCAAGGGCCACACAAAGCCTGCGGCGGAGCATGCTGCATCAAGCGTCTGCGCCTAGCTAAGCCCGGTCTGGCCGCAGCGCCATCTTCTCCCTCTGCACCCCTTTCAATCAAGTTGTCTGTACATCTCTGTACCGGACACATAGGATCGCAGGGGGGTTTTAAGGACATGTTCCTGCGCAGTAGCGAGCTGGATCCTTTTTTGCGAGCCTCCGCTCTGTACACTGCCCTCGGCGGGCCGCGCCGGCTGAGCGGCCGGCTCAGTGTGAGGTTAAAAGGCGAGCTTAGAAAAGTTTAGGCCTCGGCTGCGGCACGCAGCGGCGAGGCGGTGTAGTTGGCCCAATCACCCCAAGCACTGCCGGTGAGCCCGTCCTGCGCATTGACAAGGTGACCAGGTGCTGCGACGTGCAGCATAAGGAAGCAAGCTGCATGCAACAGCTAGCAACTAGTTAGCGGCTAGCGCATGCTCATGCAACGTTGGACAAGTTTGTCTCATGTCACGTGTCCTGAAAGAACATGCCGATGATGGCCATCATCGCAAGCCTTCCGTTGGCCAACTCCGCTGACAATTTTTTCGTCTTCTCAGCGGGGTCGCTGGACGTCAAGACCTTGAACCCGAAGTCACCGGCTGCGGCCGGAGTTCCGGCAGACTGATCCTGAGAGACCTCGCAGAAGGCCATGTACGCCAGAATCTGTCCCCACCCTGCGGCAGGAACCTTGGAAATGGCTGCAAGGCCATTGGGGACATCGGCAAACTTCAATCCTGCTGATGGCGACAGAAAACCTGGGAACTTGCCCGTGATCCTTGGTCAGCCATTCACCATCGTGCAATGCAAAGTCATCATGTACTCAAGAAAATTCTTGTGACATGCACACTGCACGGCTCACAAGATCTCACTCGAGCACGTGAGACACCCCTAACGCAACACGCACGCAGAACGAACTACATGTCATCTGAGTCGCTCTGGCGTGATGTATCCCATTGTCGCGAGCATGGCGATGCGGCCGTGCTTGATTTCAGTCTGGCGACGACGCTTGAAGTCCTCCACGCTTCCGTCGGCCGTAAAACCGGCGGGGTCCCAAAATCCAACAGGATCCTGGACACCGAGCTCGTTCTCGAAGGCACGCAGCGGCGAGGCGGTGTAGTTGGCCCAATCACCCCACGCACTGCCAGTGAGTCCATCCTTCACATTGACAACGCGCTGCGACGTGCAGCATAAGGAAGCAAGCTGCATGCAACAGCTAGCAACTAGTTAGCGGCTAACGCATGCTCATGCAACGTTGGACAAGTTTGTCTCATGTCACGTGTCCTGAAAGAACATGCCGATGATGGCCATCATCGCAAGCCTTCCGTTGGCCAACTCCGCTGACAATTTTTTCGTCTTCTCAGCGGGGTCGCTGGACGTCAAGACCTTGAACCCGAAGTCACCGGCTGCGGCCGGAGTTCCGGCAGACTGATCCTGAGAGACCTCGCAGAAGGCCATGTACGCCAGAATCTGTCCCCACCCTGCGGCAGGAACCTTGGAAATGGCTGAAAGGCCATTGGGGACATCGGCAAACTTCAATCCTGCTGATGGCGACAGAAAACCTGGGAACTTGCCCGTGATCCTTGGTCAGCCATAGACCATCGTGCAATGCAAAGTCATCATGTACTCAAGAAAATTCTTGTGACATGCACACTGCACGGCTCACAAGATCTCACTCGAGCACGTGAGACACCCCTAACGCAACACGCACGCAGAACGAACTACATGTCATCTGAGTCGCTCTGGCGTGATGTATCCCATTGTCGCGAGCATGGCGATGCGGCCGTGCTTGATTTCAGTCTGGCGACGACGCTTGAAGTCCTCCACGCTTCCGTCGGCCGTAAAACCGGCGGGGTCCCAAAATCCAACAGGATCCTGGGCACCGAGCTCGTTCTCGAAGGCACGCAGCGGCGAGGCGGTGTAGTTGGCCCAATCACCCCACGCACTGCCAGTGAGTCCATCCTTCACATTGACAACGCGCTGCGACGTGCAGCATAAGGAAAAAAGCTGAATGCAACAGCTAGCAACTAGTTAGCGTCTAACGCATGCTCATGCGACGTTGGACAAGTTTGTCCCATGTCACGTCTCCTGAAAGAACATGCCGATGATGGCCATCATCGCAAGCCTTCCGTTGGCCAACTCCGCTGACAATTTTTTCGTCTTCTCAGCGGGGTCGCTGGACGTCAAGACCTTGAACCCGAAGTCACCCGCTGCGGCCGGAGTTCCGGCAGACTGATCCTGAGAGACCTCGCAGAAGGCCATGTACGCCAGAATCTGTCCCCACCCTGCGGCAGGAACCTTGGAAATGGCTGCAAGGCCATTGGGGACATCGGCAAACTTCAATCCTGCTGATGGCGACAGAAAACCTGGGAACTTGCCCGTGATCCTTGGTCAGCCATACACCATCGTGCAATGCAAAGTCATCATGTACTCAAGAAAATTCTTGTGACATGCACACTGCACGGCTCACAAGATCTCACTCGAGCAACGTGGGACAGCCCTAACGCAACACGCACGCAGAACGAACTACATGTCATCTGAGTCGCTCTGGCGTGATGTATCCCATTGTCGCGAGCATGGCGATGCGGCCGTGCTTGATTTCAGTCTGGCGACGACGCTTGAAGTCCTCCACGCTTCCGTCGGCCGTAAAACCGGCGGGGTCCCAAAATCCAACAGGATCCTGGACACCGAGCTCGTTCTCGAAGGCACGCAGCGGCGAGGCGGTGTAGGTGGCCCAATCACCCCACGCACTGCCAGTGAGTCCATCCTTCACATTGACAACGCGCTGCGACGTGCAGCATAAGGAAAAAAGCTGAATGCAACAGCTAGCAACTAGTTAGCGTCTAACGCATGCTCATGCAACGTTGGACAAGTTTGTCCCATGTCACGTGTCCTGAAAGAACATGCCGATGATGGCCATCATCGCAAGCCTTCCGTTGGCCAACTCCGCTGACAATTTTTTCGTCTTCTCAGCGGGGTCGCTGGACGTCAAGACCTTGAACCCGAAGTCACCCGCTGCGGCCGAAGTTCCGGCAGACTGATCCTGAGAGACCTCGCAGAAGGCCATGTACGCCAGAATCTGTCCCCACCCTGCGGCAGGAACCTTGGAAATGGCTGCAAGGCCATTGGGGACATCGGCAAACTTCAATCCTGCTGATGGCGACAGAAAACCTGGGAACTTGCCCGTGATCCTTGGTCAGCCATACACCATCCAATGCAACGTCATCATGTACTCAAGAAAAACCTTGTGACGTGCACGCTGCACGGCTCACAAGATCTCACTCGAGCAACATGAGACAGCCCTAATGCAACACGCATGCAGAACGAACTATATCGAATTCATGACAGGACAGGAGTGATGTATCCCTAACGCAACACGCACGCAGAACGAACTACATGTCATCTGAGTCGCTCTGGCGTGATGTATCCCATTGTCGCGAGCATGGCGATGCGACCGTGCTTGATTTCAGTCTGGCGACGACGCTTGAAGTCCTCCACGCTTCCGTCGGCCGTAAAACCGGCGGGGTCCCAAAATCCAACAGGATCCTGGACACCGAGCTCGTTCTCAAAGGCACGCAGCGGCGAGGCGGTGTAGTTGGCCCAATCACCCCACGCACTGCCAGTGAGTCCATCCTTCACATTGACAACGCGCTGCGACGTGCAGCATAAGGAAAAAAGCTGAATGCAACAGCTAGCAACTAGTTAGCGTCTAACGCATGCTCATGCAACGTTGGACAAGTTTGTCTCATGTCACGTGTCCTGAAAGAACATGCCGATGATGGCCATCATCGCAAGCCTTCCGTTGGCCAACTCCGCTGACAATTTTTTCGTCTTCTCAGCGGGGTCGCTGGACGTCAAGACCTTGAACCCGAAGTCACCGGCGGCGGCCGGAGTTCCGGCAGACTGATCCTGAGAGACCTCGCAGAAGGCCATGTACGCCAGAATCTGTCCCCACCCTGCGGCAGGAACTTTGGAAATGGCTGCAAGGCCATTGGGGACATCGGCAAACTTCAATCCTGCTGATGGCGACAGAAAACCTGGGAACTTGCCCGTGATCCTTGGTCAGCCATACACCATCGTGCAATGCAACGTCATCATGTACTCAAGAAAAACCTCGTGACATGCACGCTGCACGGCTCACAAGATCTCAATCGAGCAACGTGGGACAGCCCTAACGCAACACGCACGCAGAACGAACTACATGTCATCTGAGTCGCTCTGGCGTGATGTATCCCATTGTCGCGAGCATGGCGATGCGGCCGTGCTTGATTTCAGTCTGGCGACGACGCTTGAAGTCCTCCACGCTTCCGTCGGCCGTAAAACCGGCGGGGTCCCAAAATCCAACAGGATCCTGGACACCGAGCTCGTTCTCGAAGGCACGCAGCGGCGAGGCGGTGTAGTTGGCCCAATCACCCCAGGCACTGCCAGTGAGTCCATCCTGGAAGAACCTCAACATGCAAGCAGTTCAACAAGGTCGGCAAGAGCGTCCTCGAACTTGTTACGCAGGCTTCTTTTGAAGGAGGCAACTTTGGGGAACTCTGGTCTGCAGCCCCGGAGCATGCCGATGATGGCCATCATCGCCAGTCGGCCATTTGCCAACTCGGCACTCCTCTCACGCCCACCCCCTCCCCCGCTGCTTTTTGACATCACGCCAAAGCACACGAACATTGAAAAAGAGGTCGCCCGAAAACCCACTTCTGAAGACACGACCCAGGCTCAGCTTCTTGGTCTTCTCGGCCGGGTCGCTGGAGGTGAGAACCTTGAAGCCGAAGTCTCCGGCATAGGCCGCGGTGCCCGGCTCCTGCGTCTGGGAGGCCTCGAGCACGCATGAGAGGATGCTTCAGGCTGCAGAAGACACAGCGACTCCCATGATCCGGCCTCGCAGTAGGCCATGTACAGCAGGATCTGGCCCCAACCAGCCTGGGGCACCTCTGCAGACTGCGAAGGGAGAAGGGGCGACGAAGAAGTGCAAAGATTCGGAAAGTGGATCGCGTCTCCATTCTCTGCTCACGACATGAGAGCGAAAAAAAGCGACTGATGAACGAGTCTAAGGCACGCAGGCCCTACGAGTAACATCCCCCCTCCCCCGGCAACCCTTGCACCTTGGAGATGGCTGCCAGGCCATTGGGCACGTCGGCGAACTTCAGTCCGGCAGATGGGCTTAAGTACCCTGGGAACTTGCCCGTGATCCTCAGACCAAGACGCGGCGGTCAGCTTCACGTGTCTGCTTGCACTCATGTCTGAGAACTGCTCCTTACTGGGGGGAAAAGTCAAGGAGGATGCAAGGGATGCCGCAAGGGATGCCGCAAAAGGATGCCGCAAAGGATGCCGCAAACAACAAAATTTGGGACAAGCCGCTCTGGGGTGATGTAGCCCATCGTTGCCAGCATCGCCTCAGGCACTTCGGGTCTTCGCCCGGAGATGGCGGCAGAAATTGTGCCAGGCTGGGATGCTTGGCGGGGGGCACTCGAACGTGGGGTCGCGAAAGAGAAGCCGCGAACGCACATGTCTGCAAACCCTGTATAACGTGGTTACCATACTCTCCACGGGAGATCCCGGTGCGCACAAACCAGGGAGGCTTATGGACGTGCGTATTCGCAATGTTCATGAATACGATATAATACGATGTGCGAATTTGGGCGAACATGAGCGAATCCTCGCGGCACGGATGCAGCCCAGTTGCAATGCGCCCGTGCTTGAGCTCGGTGGCCCGTCGGCGCTTGAAGTTCTCTACGCTGCCGTCCGCACCTGCACACGGGGCGGCGGGTTCGGCGTTCTCGGTTTGCACGGAGGCGCTAAAGGCAAGCGCCGGCCCTGAAACTCAAACCGCGATCCCAAACCCTCCAACGCCAGCCAAGGCGCTCAGGCCGGCGGGGTCCCAGAAGCCCACGGGCGCCTGCGCAGCTCATGACAGTTCGGAAGGTGCGTGGAAGGCTTCATGTTCTGAACCGGTCTAAAGTGTCAACTGCCTTCCTCTAGGGCGACACAACGGCACGCAAACCTCTCAGGATTTCTCTGACCTACGCCTGCGCTCTATCGGTAGTCCTAGCGATGTCAGCCGCACGAGCCAGTGTCCAAAAATGTCCAAGAAGAAAGGAGACCGTGGACCTGAACGCCGAGCTCGCTCTCAAAGGCGCTGACGACCACCTGTGGCAGAAGGTCCCTTGGGGGGTCTGGGGACATCACTAGGACTTCAGGATACTTCTTGGATCTTCTTGGGATCTTTCTGATTCTTCTTGGGGCACAGGCACAAAGGAGAGGCCCGCCCCACTTCCAGCCCAAAGCACCAGCCCAAAGCAGGCCCCCCCCGTCGCACCTGGGACTTGCGGCTGCTGGCCTGCACTTGGAATTCTTTGGGCTGAGCGAGGTAAAGGTCGCAGGGCCCCACTGAAACCAGAAAAGTCCCCAGAACCGATAACCCCACATGCTCCAGTCATGTACCCCCAAGGCGTGGGGCTCCCCATCCGCACTCAGAGCCCACTCCGAAACAGGAAAAAATCGCTCCAGACATCACCCGACCCTAACTACGTCTCGCAACCCGAGCCCCGAACCTGAGAGAACCCCTCCCCCTGGGGACCCGGTCCTTGCCCCGGAGCTGCGCTGCTAGGAGGGCCTGCAGCGCGAGAGGGAGGGAGGAGTGATGGCGCTGCTACCCTGAGCCTTTTCTGCGCCTTTCTTCAACCCGAAGCCCACACACACGCACGCCCCGGCGCATGCCGGAGTGCTCCCTGAAAACGCTCCCTGAGAACGCTGAGCGGCTGATGCCGAAGCCACGGTCGTGCAGCCAAGAAGGCTTGAGGAGCTGCTGCCTGGTCAGAGGTCCAGGAGCGTCACTTTGTTCGCGCTTTGGCAAAGGCGGCTGACTGCGCCTTCGGCGCTCCTCTGCGCCGCTACTCGGCCGCGCAGCTGAACGCTGCTTCGCTCCGGGGCAGCCTGCGCTCAGTGTCAGGCATGCTGACAAAGCGGCCTGTGACCCCGTGTGTGTGAGAGAGAGATAATGTGTGTGTGTGTGTGTGTTCTATGACATTGTACGACCTTGAGTCCTTGAGGATTGAGCAGATTCTTTCTGAGCTTCGAAGGAGTTCGAAGCTCGAAATGCCCTATGTCCCGCGTGCCCCCCTACCCGCCCACCAAATACAGGGGTCGCTTGAAAAGCTCAGGTGTGGGAATGTGTGGGACGTTTGTTCTTTCTGCCTTGCCCTGGCATCACGGATTTTGCAGCCGTGACCAAGCAAGAGTCCGAAATCGACAGCAACGCTTTGCCAAACGTGCCCTTCTCGAAAAGGGCATAGAATCTCCCACCGTTCTTCGAAATTCCCAAGACATCCCAAGACGGTTTGCCGACACCATGGGGTTCAAAAGCTTGCGCTCTGGATCGTGATCCCGTCACAGTCCTGCGCCATCCTGCGCCATCCTGCGCCATCCTGCGCCGAACGCGCCTTCGCGAAGCGTCGCCTGTGGCCTTTGGCTTCGCCATGCTGCTCCCTGCGTCCCGCGCCCAGTCCGTGGTTTCAATCGCGCTGCCGCTATCCTGGCCTTGGACTTTGGGCCTTGGACCGCGCCTCTGCTGAGTGCTTGAGTGACATTGAGTGACACTTGCCCAAAAACACCTGAGCTCCAGCAAAATCTAGCCCACGGTACTGCTGGGGCCTGACCGGCTGGACTGCTCTGCACGAAGGCCTGGGCATGGAAACATGCAAAACTCATCTCTCTTTTCCGCCTCTTCCTCCCTTGTTCATGCCTACATGACATCCATACCCACCCCGTCACGATAACACTTTGCTGCCTTTCCTCTTCACACCACTTCGCACCTGCAAACCCTGAACCACAACCCCGGCGAGCTTCATCAAGTTGCAACGGCGTTGTTGCATCTTGCTGCCCAAGCTGCCCTAGAGGCCAACGTGGCCGCCGCACCAGCGGCGACAGCCATGGCAGTCTTCTGGCCTTTGCCGGGTTCAGGTTGTTTCAGGGTTTGGTGAGTGCCAGTGTTCGGTTAAACCAGGTACTTGGGAGATCCGAACTGGCTTTCGTCGGTTGCGACTCTTGCGACATGTTCTGACCCTGGGATCAAGGTGCCATTTCAGCCACTGAAAATCGCCCCAAAAGGGGGCGCGCAGGTCCTCGATCTTTCTTTCGCGAAGAGCAAAGCCGGGTAAGGCGTTGGGATCATTTCGAAGGGGAGGAGGGGGCTTGCTGGTGGCGGTGCTCCTGCTACAAGCATCTGCAACACGACAGACACCCCGTCACCCCAAACGGCCCCAAGCTCGCGCAATCTGGAGGCCCCCCGCTTGAGGGCATGGTTGCAGATGTTGCAGCGACTGGAGGAAAATCTAAGGTACCAGTCAGAATCTGCAAGGGCCACACAAAGCCTGCGGCGGAGCATGCTGCATCAAGCGTCTGCGCCTAGCTAAGCCCGGTCTGGCCGCAGCGCCATCTTCTCCCTCTGCACCCCTTTCAATCAAGTTGTCTGTACATCTCTGTACCGGACACATAGGATCGCAGGGGGGTTTTAAGGACATGTTCCTGCGCAGTAGCGAGCTGGATCCTTTTTTGCGAGCCTCCGCTCTGTACACTGCCCTCGGCGGGCCGCGCCGGCTGAGCGGCCGGCTCAGTGTGAGGTTAAAAGGCGAGCTTAGAAAAGTTTAGGCCTCGGCTGCGGCACGCAGCGGCGAGGCGGTGTAGTTGGCCCAATCACCCCAAGCACTGCCGGTGAGCCCGTCCTGCGCATTGACAAGGTGACCAGGTGCTGCGACGTGCAGCATAAGGAAGCAAGCTGCATGCAACAGCTAGCAACTAGTTAGCGGCTAGCGCATGCTCATGCAACGTTGGACAAGTTTGTCTCATGTCACGTGTCCTGAAAGAACATGCCGATGATGGCCATCATCGCAAGCCTTCCGTTGGCCAACTCCGCTGACAATTTTTTCGTCTTCTCAGCGGGGTCGCTGGACGTCAAGACCTTGAACCCGAAGTCACCGGCTGCGGCCGGAGTTCCGGCAGACTGATCCTGAGAGACCTCGCAGAAGGCCATGTACGCCAGAATCTGCCCCCACCCTGCGGCAGGAACCTTGGAAATGGCTGCAAGGCCATTGGGGACATCGGCAAACTTCAATCCTGCTGATGGCGACAGAAAACCTGGGAACTTGCCCGTGATCCTTGGTCAGCCATAGACCATCGTGCAATGCAACGTCATCATGTACTCAAGAAAATTCTTGTGACATGCACACTGCACGGCTCACAAGATCTCACTCGAGCACGTGAGACACCCCTAACGCAACACGCACACAGAACGAACTACATGTCATCTGAGTCGCTCTGGCGTGATGTATCCCATTGTCGCGAGCATGGCGATGCGGCCGTGCTTGATTTCAGTCTGGCGACGACGCTTGAAGTCCTCCACGCTTCCGTCGGCCGTAAAACCGGCGGGGTCCCAAAATCCAACAGGATCCTGGACACCGAGCTCGTTCTCAAAGGCACGCAGCGGCGAGGCGGTGTAGTTGGCCCAATCACCCCACGCACTGCCAGTGAGTCCATCCTTCACATTGACAACGCGCTGCGACGTGCAGCATAAGGAAAAAAGCTGAATGCAACAGCAAGCAACTAGTTAGCGGCTAACGCATGCTCATGCAACGTTGGACAAGTTTGTCTCATGTCACGTGTCCTGAAAGAACATGCCGATGATGGCCATCATCGCAAGCCTTCCGTTGGCCAACTCCGCTGACAATTTTTTCGTCTTCTCAGCGGGGTCGCTGGACGTCAAGACCTTGAACCCGAAGTCACCGGCTGCGGCCGGAGTTCCGGCAGACTGATCCTGAGAGACCTCGCAGAAGGCCATGTACGCCAGAATCTGTCCCCACCCTGCGGCAGGAACCTTGGAAATGGCTGCAAGGCCATTGGGGACATCGGCAAACTTCAATCCTGCTGATGGCGACAGAAAACCTGGGAACTTGCCCGTGATCCTTGGTCAGCCATACACCATCGTGCAATGCAAAGTCATCATGTACTCAAGAAAATCTTGTGACATGCACACTGCACGGCTCACAAGATCTCACTCGAGCAACGTGAGACAGCCCTAACGCAACACGCACGCAGAACGAACTACATGTCATCTGAGTCGCTCTGGCGTGATGTATCCCATTGTCGCGAGCATGGCGATGCGGCCGTGCTTGATTTCAGTCTGGCGACGACGCTTGAAGTCCTCCACGCTTCCGTCGGCCGTAAAACCGGCGGGGTCCCAAAATCCAACAGGATCCTGGACACCGAGCTCGTTCTCGAAGGCACGCAGCGGCGAGGCGGTGTAGTTGGCCCAATCACCCCACGCACTGCCAGTGAGTCCATCCTTCACATTGACAACGCGCTGCGACGTGCAGCATAAGGAAAAAAGCTGAATGCAACAGCTAGCAACTAGTTAGCGGCTAACGCATGCTCATGCAACGTTGGACAAGTTTGTCTCATGTCACGTGTCCTGAAAGAACATGCCGATGATGGCCATCATCGCAAGCCTTCCGTTGGCCAACTCCGCTGACAATTTTTTCGTCTTCTCAGCGGGGTCGCTGGACGTCAAGACCTTGAACCCGAAGTCACCGGCTGCGGCCGGAGTTCCGGCAGACTGATCCTGAGAGACCTCGCAGAAGGCCATGTACGCCAGAATCTGTCCCCACCCTGCGGCAGGAACCTTGGAAATGGCTGCAAGGCCATTGGGGACATCGGCAAACTTCAATCCTGCTGATGGCGACAGAAAACCTGGGAACTTGCCCGTGATCCTTGGTCAGCCATACACCATCGTGCAATGCAACGTCATCATGTACTCAAGAAAACCTTGTGACATGCACGCTGCACGGCTCACAAGATCTCACTCGAGCACGTGAGACAGCCCTAACGCAACACGCACGCAGAACGAACTACATGTCATCTGAGTCGCTCTGGCGTGATGTATCCCATTGTCGCGAGCATGGCGATGCGGCCGTGCTTGATTTCAGTCTGGCGACGACGCTTGAAGTCCTCCACGCTTCCGTCGGCCGTAAAACCGGCGGGGTCCCAAAATCCAACAGGATCCTGGACACCGAGCTCGTTCTCGAAGGCACGCAGCGGAGAGGCGGTGTAGTTGGCCCAATCACCCCAAGCGCTGCCAGTGAGTCCATCCTTCACATTGACAGCGCGCTGCGACGTGCAGCATAAGTAAACAAGCTGAATGCAACAGCTGGTGTTAGTGACTAACGCACGCTCATGCAACGTTGGACAAGTTTGTTTCATGTCACGTGTCCTGAAAGAACATGCCGATGATGGCCATCATTGCAAGCCTTCCGTTGGCCAACTCCGCTGACAATTTTTTCGTCTTCTCAGCGGGGTCGCTGGACGTCAAGACTTTGAACCCGAAGTCACCGGCTGCGGCCGGAGTTCCGGCAGACTGATCCTGAGAGACCTCGCAGAAGGCCATGTACGCCAGAATCTGTCCCCACCCTGCGGCAGGAACCTTGGAAATGGCTGCAAGGCCATTGGGGACATCGGCAAACTTCAATCCTGCTGATGGCGACAGAAAACCTGGGAACTTGCCCGTGATCCTTGGTCAGTCATACACCATCGGGCAATGCAAAGTCATCATGTACTCAAGCAAAACCTTGAGACGTGCACGCTGCACGGCTAACAAGATCTCACTAGAGCACGTGAGACAGGCCTAACGCAACACGCATGCAGAACGAACTACATGTCATCTGAGTCGCTCTGGCGTGATGTATCCCATTGTCGCGAGCATGGCGATGCGACCGTGCTTGATTTCAGTCTGGCGACGACGCTTGAAGTCCTCCACGCTTCCGTCGGCCGTAAAACCGGCGGGGTCCCAAAATCCAACAGGATCCTGGACACCGAGCTCGTTCTCGAAGGCACGCAGCGGCGAGGCGGTGTAGTTGGCCCAATCACCCCACGCACTGCCAGTGAGTCCATCCTTCACATTGACAACGCGCTGCGACGTGCAGCATATGTAAACAAGCTAAATGCAACAGCTGGTTTAGTGACTAACGCATGCTCATGCAACGTTGGACAAGTTTGTCTCATGTCACGTGTCCTGAAAGAACATGCCGATGATGGCCATCATCGCAAGCCTTCCGTTGGCCAACTCCGCTGACAATTTTTTCGTCTTCTCAGCGGGGTCGCTGGACGTCAAGACCTTGAACCCGAAGTCACCGGCTGCGGCCGGAGTTCCGGCAGACTGATCCTGAGAGACCTCGCAGAAGGCCATGTACGCCAGAATCTGTCCCCACCCTGCGGCAGGAACCTTGGAAATGGCTGCAAGGCCATTGGGGACATCGGCAAACTTCAATCCTGCTGATGGCGACAGAAAACCTGGGAACTTGCCCGTGATCCTTGGTCAGCCATACACCATCGGGCAATGCAAAGTCATCATGTGTACTCAAGAAAAACCTGGTGACGTGCACGCTGCACGGTTCACCAGATCTCACTCGAGCAACGTGGGACAGCCCTAACGCAACACGCCCGCAGAACGAACTACATGTCATCTGAGTCGCTCTGGCGTGATGTATCCCATTGTCGCGAGCATGGCGATGCGGCCGTGCTTGATTTCAGTCTGGCGACGACGCTTGAAGTCCTCCACGCTTCCGTCGGCCGTAAAACCGGCGGGGTCCCAAAATCCAACAGGATCCTGGACACCGAGCTCGTTCTCGAAGGCACGCAGCGGCGAGGCGGTGTAGTTGGCCCAATCACCCCACGCACTGCCAGTGAGTCCATCCTTCACATTGACAACGCGCTGCGACGTGCAGCATGAGGAAAAAAGCTGAATGCAACAGCCAGCAACTAGTTAGCGGCTAACGCATGCTCATGCAACGTTGGACAAGTTTGTCTCATGTCACGTGTCCTGAAAGAACATGCCGATGATGGCCATCATCGCAAGCCTTCCGTTGGCCAACTCCGCTGACAATTTTTTCGTCTTCTCAGCGGGGTCGCTGGACGTCAAGACCTTGAACCCGAAGTCACCGGCTGCGGCTGGAGTTCCGGCAGACTGATCCTGAGAGACCTCGCAGAAGGCCATGTACGCCAGAATCTGTCCCCACCCTGCGGCAGGAACTTTGGAAATGGCTGCAAGGCCATTGGGGACATCGGCAAACTTCAATCCTGCTGATGGCGACAGAAAACCTGGGAACTTGCCCGTGATCCTTGGTCAGCCATAGACCATCGTGCAATGCAAAGTCATCATGTACTCAAGAAAATTCTTGTGACATGCACACTGCACGGCTCACAAGATCTCACTCGAGCTCCTGAGACACCCCTAACGCAACACGCACGCAGAACGAACTACATGTCATCTGAGTCGCTCTGGCGTGATGTATCCCATTGTCGCGAGCATGGCGATGCGACCGTGCTTGATTTCAGTCTGGCGACGACGCTTGAAGTCCTCCACGCTTCCGTCGGCCGTAAAACCGGCGGGGTCCCAAAATCCAACAGGATCCTGGACACCGAGCTCGTTCTCAAAGGCACGCAGCGGCGAGGCGGTGTAGTTGGCCCAATCACCCCACGCACTGCCAGTGAGTCCATCCTTCACATTGACAACGCGCTGCGACGTGCAGCAAAAGGAAAAAAGCAGCGACTAGTTAGCGGCTAACGCACACTCATGCAACGTTGGACAAGTTTGTCTCATGTCACGTGTCCTGAAAGAACATGCCGATGATGGCCATCATCGCAAGCCTTCCGTTGGCCAACTCCGCTGACAATTTTTTCGTCTTCTCAGCGGGGTCGCTGGACGTCAAGACCTTGAACCCGAAGTCACCGGCTGCGGCCGGAGTTCCGGCAGACTGATCCTGAGAGACCTCGCAGAAGGCCATGTACGCCAGAATCTGTCCCCACCCTGCGGCAGGAACTTTGGAAATGGCTGCAAGGCCATTGGGGACATCGGCAAACTTCAATCCTGCTGATGGCGACAGAAAACCTGGGAACTTGCCCGTGATCCTTGGTCAGCCATACACCATCCAATGCAACGTCATCATGTACTCAAGAAAACCTTGTGACGTGCACGCTGCACGGCTCACAAGATCTCAATCGAGCACGTGAGACAGCCCTAATGCAACATGCACGCAGAACGATTTATATGTCATCTGAGTCGCTCTGGCGTGATGTATCCCATTGTCGCGAGCATGGCGATGCGGCCGTGCTTGATTTCAGTCTGGCGACGACGCTTGAAGTCCTCCACGCTTCCGTCGGCCGTAAAACCGGCGGGGTCCCAAAATCCAACAGGATCCTGGACACCGAGCTCGTTCTCGAAGGCACGCAGCGGCGAGGCGGTGTAGTTGGCCCAATCACCCCAGGCACTGCCAGTGAGTCCATCCTGGAAGAACCTCAACATGCAAGCAGTTCAACAAGGTCGGCAAGAGCGTCCTCGAACTTGTTACGCAGGCTTCTTTTGAAGGAGGCAACTTTGGGGAACTCTGGTCTGCAGCCCCGGAGCATGCCGATGATGGCCATCATCGCCAGTCGGCCATTTGCCAACTCGGCACTCCTCTCACGCCCACCCCCTCCCCCGCTGCTTTTTGAGATCCCGCCAAAGCACACGAAAATTGAAAAAGAGGTCGCCCGAAAGCCCTTCTGAAGACACGACCCAGGCTCAGCTTCTTGGTCTTCTCGGCCGGGTCGCTGGAGGTGAGAACCTTGAAGCCGAAGTCTCCAGCATAGGCCGCGGTGCCCGGCTCCTGCGTCTGGGAGGCCTCGGGCTTCTCCAAGAGATGCAAAACGTGCGGCACTGCCACGTGCAAGGCCCTAACCGTGTGTTGCAGTGGCTAACCAAACTTGAGACAGCGGTGGCTCTTCTTTTTCCACACACATGCATTCATAGAAATTATAGAGGATGGTTCAGGACGCAGAAAACACAGGACTCCTGTGATCCGGCCTCGCAGTAGGCCATGTACAGCAGGATCTGGCCCCAACCAGCCTGGGGCACCTCTGCAGACTGCGAAGGGAGAAGGGGGCGAAGGGAGAAGGGGGCGACGAAGAAGTGCAAAGATTCGGAAAGTGGATCGCGTCTCCATTCTCTGCTCACGACATGAGAGCGAAAAAAAGCGACTGATGAACGAGTCTAAGGCACGCAGGCCCTACGAGTAACATCCCCCCTCCCCCGGCAACCCTTGCACCTTGGAGATGGCTGCCAGGCCATTGGGCACGTCGGCGAACTTCAGTCCGGCAGATGGGCTCAAGTACCCTGGGAACTTGCCCGTGATCCTCAGACCAAGACGCGGCGGTCAGCTTCACGTGTCTGCTTGCACTCATGTCTGAGAACTAACTGCTCCTTACTGGGGGGAAAAACAAGGAGGATGCAAGGGTGCCGCAAGGGATGCCGCAAGGGATGCCGCAAGGGATGCCGCAAAGGATGCCGCAAAGGATGCCGCAAAGGATGCCGCAAACAACAAAATTTGGGACAAGCCGCTCTGGGGTGATGTAGCCCATCGTTGCCAGCATCGCCTCAGGCACTTCGGGTCTTCGCCCGGAGATGTCGGCAGAAATTGTGCCAGGCTGGGATGCTTGGCGGGGGGCACTCGAACGTGGGGTCGCGAAAGAGAAGCCGCGAACGCACATGTCTGCAAACCCTGTATAACGTGGGTACCATACTCTCCACGGGAGATCCCGGTGCGCACAAACCAGGGAGGCTTATGGACGTGCGTATTTGCAATGTTCATGAATACGATATAATACGATGTGCGAATTTGGGCGAACATGAGCGAATCCTCGCGGCACGATGCGGCACGGATGCAGCCCAGTTGCAATGCGCCCGTGCTTGAGCTCGGTGGCCCGTCGGCGCTTGAAGTTCTCTACGCTGCCGTCCGCACCTGCACACGGGGCGGCGGGTTCGGCGTTCTCGGTTTGCACGGAGGCGCTAAAGGCAAGCGCCGGCCCTGAAACTCAAACCGCGATCCCAAACCCTCCAACGCCAGCCAAGGCGCTCAGGCCGGCGGGGTCCCAGAAGCCCACGGGCGCCTGCGCAGCTCATGACAGTTCGGAAGGTGCGTGGAAGGCTTCATGTTCTGAACCGGTCTAAAGTGTCAACTGGCTTCCTCTAGGGCGACACAACGGCACGCAAACCTCTCTGGATTTCTCTGACCTACGCCTGCGCTCTATCGGTAGTCCTAGCGATGTCAGCCGCACGAGCCAGTGTCCAAAAATGTCCAAGAAGAAAGGAGACCGTGGACCTGAACGCCGAGCTCGCTCTCAAAGGCGCTGACGACCACCTGTGGCAGAAGGTCCCTTGGGGGGTCTGGGGACATCACTAGGACTTCAGGATACTTCTTGGATCTTCTTGGGATCTTTCTGATTCTTCTTGGGGCACAGGCACAAAGGAGAGGCCCGCCCCACTTCCAGCCCAAAGCACCAGCCCAAAGCAGGCCCCCCCCGTCGCACCTGGGACTTGCGGCTGCTGGCCTGCACTTGGAATTCTTTGGGCTGAGCGAGGTAAACCAGAACCGATAACCCCACATGCTCCAGTCATGTACCCCCAAGGCGTGGGGCTCCCCATCCGCACTCAGAGCCCACTCCGAAAACCTGCCATCTCAGGAAAAAACTGCACCAGACATCACCCGACCCTAACTACGTCTCGCAACCCGAGCACCGAACCTGAGAGAACCCCTCCCCCTGGGGACCCGGTCCTTGCCCCGGAGCTGCGCTGCTAGGAGGGCCTGCAGCGCGAGAGGGAGGGAGGAGTGATGGCGCTGCTACCCTGAGCCCTTTCTGCGCCTTTCTTCAACCCAACCCGAAGCCCACACACACGCACGCCCCGGCGCATGCCGGAGTGCTCCCTGAAAACGCTCCCTGAGAACGCTGAGCGGCTGATGCCGAAGCCACGGTCGTGCAGCCAAGAAGGCTTGAGGAGCTGCTGCCTGGTCAGAGGTCCAGGAGCGTCACTTTGTTCGCGCTTTGGCAAAGGCGGCTGACTGCGCCTTCGGCACTCCTCTGCGCCGCTACTCGGCCGCGCAGCTGAACGCTGCTTCGCTCCGGGGCAGCCTGCGCTCAGTGTCAGGCATGCTGACAAAGCGGCCTGTGACCCCGTGTGTGTGAGAGAGAGATAATGTGTGTGTGTGTGTGTGTTCTATGACATTGTACGACCTTGAGTCCTTGAGGATTGAGCAGATTCTTTCTGAGCTTCGAAGGAGTTCGAAGCTCGAAATGCCCTATGTCCCGCGTGCCCCCCTACCCGCCCACCAAATACAGGGGTCGCTTGAAAAGCTCAGGTGTGGGAATGTGTGGGACGTTTGTTCTTTCTGCCTTGCCCTGGCATCGCGGATTTTGCAGCCGTGGCCAAGCAAGAGTCCGAAATCGACAGCAACGCTTTGCCAAACGTGCCCTTCTCGAAAAGGGCATAGAATCTCCCACCGTTCTTCGAAATTCCCAAGACATCCCAAGACGGTTTGCCGACACCATGGGGTTCAAAAGCTTGCGCTCTGGATCGTGATCCCGTCACAGTCCTGCGCCATCCTGCGCCATCCTGCGCCGAACGCGCCTTCGCGAAGCGTCGCCTGTGGCCTTTGGCTTCGCCATGCTGCTCCCTGCGTCCCGCGCCCAGTCCGTGGTCTCAATCGCGCTGCCGCTATCCTGGCCTTGGACTTTGGGCCTTTGGGCCTTGGACCGCGCCTCTGCTGAGTGCTTGAGTGACATTGAGTGACACTTGCCCAAAAACACCTGAGCTCCAGCAAAATCTAGCCCACGTTACTGCTGGGGCCTGACCGGCTGGACTGCTCTGCACGAAGGCCTGGGCATGGAAACGTGCAAAACTCATCTCTCTTTTCCGCCTTTTCCTCCCTTGTTCATGCCTACATGACATCCATAACCACAGTGTCACGATAACACTTTGCTGCCTTTCCTCTTCACACCACTTCGCACCTGCAAACCCTGAACCACAACCCCAGCGAGCTTCATCAAGTCGCAACGGCGTTGCTGCATCTTGCTGCCCAAGCTGCCCTAGAGGCCAACGTGGCCGCCGCACCAGCGGCGACAGCCATGGCAGTCTTCTGGCCTTTGCCGGGTTCAGGTTGTTTCAGGGTTTGGTGAGTGCCAGTGTTCGGTTAAACCAGGTACTTGGGAGATCCGAACTGGCTTTCGTCGGTTGCGACTCTTGCGACATGTTCTGACCCTGGGATCAAGGTGCCGTTTCAGCCACTGAAAACCGCCCCAAAAGGGGGCGTGCAGGTCCTCGATCTTTCTTTCGCGAAGAGCAAAGCCGGGTAAGGCGTTGGGATCATTTCGAAGGGGAGGAGGGGGCTTCCTGGTGGCGGTGCTCCTGCTACAAGCATCTGCAACACGACAGACACCCCGTCACCCCAAACGGCCCCAAGCTCGCGCAATCTGGAGGCCCCCCGCTTGAGGGCATGGTTGCAGATGTTGCAGCGACTGGAGGAAAATCTAAGGTACCAGTCAGAATCTGCAAGGGCCACACAAAGCCTGCGGCGGAGCATGCTGCATCAAGCGTCTGCGCCTAGCTAAGCCCGGTCTGGCCGCAGTGCCATCTTCTCCCTCTGCACCCCTTTCAATCAAGTTGTCTGTACATCTCTGTACCGGACACATAGGATCGCAGGGGGGTTTTAAGGACATGTTCCTGCGCAGTAGCGAGCTGGATCCTTTTTTGCGAGCCTCCGCTCTGTACACTGCTCTCGGCGGGCCGCGCCGGCTGAGCGGCCGGCTCAGTGTGAGGTTAAAAGGCGAGCTTAGAAAAGTTTAGGCCTCGGCTGCGGCACGCAGCGGCGAGGCGGTGTAGTTGGCCCAATCACCCCAAGCACTGCCGGTGAGCCCGTCCTGCGCATTGACAAGGTGACCAGGTGCTGCGACGTGCAGCATCAGGAAGCAAGCTGCATGCAACAGCTAGCAACTAGTTAGCGGATAGCGCATGCTCATGCAACGTTGGACAAGTTTGTCTCATGTCACGTGTCCTGAAAGAACATGCCGATGATGGCCATCATCGCAAGCCTTCCGTTGGCCAACTCCGCTGACAATTTTTTCGTCTTCTCAGCGGGGTCGCTGGACGTCAAGACCTTGAACCCGAAGTCACCGGCTGCGGCCGGAGTTCCGGCAGACTGATCCTGAGAGACCTCGCAGAAGGCCATGTACGCCAGAATCTGTCCCCACCCTGCGGCAGGAACCTTGGAAATGGCTGCAAGGCCATTGGGGACATCGGCAAACTTCAATCCTGCTGATGGCGACAGATAACCTGGGAACTTGCCCGTGATCCTTGGTCAGCCATAGACCATCGTGCAATGCAAAGTCATCATTTACTCAAGAAAATTCTTGTGACATGCACACTGCACGGCTCACAAGATCTCACTCGAGCACGTGAGACAGCCCTAACGCAACACGCACGCAGAACGAACTACATGTCATCTGAGTCGCTCTGGCGTGATGTATCCCATTGTCGCGAGCATGGCGATGCGGCCGTGCTTGATTTCAGTCTGGCGACGACGCTTGAAGTCCTCCACGCTTCCGTCGGCCGTAAAACCGGCGGGGTCCCAAAATCCAACAGGATCCTGGACACCGAGCTCGTTCTCAAAGGCACGCAGCGGCGAGGCGGTGTAGTTGGCCCAATCACCCCACGCACTGCCAGTGAGTCCATCCTTCACATTGACAACGCGCTGCGACGTGCAGCATAAGGAAACAAGCTGAATGCAACAGCAGCAACTAGTTAGCGGCTAACGCATGCTCATGCAACGTTGGACAAGTTTGTCTCATGTCACGTGTCCTGAAAGAACATGCCGATGATGGCCATCATCGCAAGCCTTCCGTTGGCCAACTCCGCTGACAATTTTTTCGTCTTCTCAGCGGGGTCGCTGGACGTCAAGACCTTGAACCCGAAGTCACCGGCTGCGGCCGGAGTTCCGGCAGACTGATCCTGAGAGACCTCGCAGAAGGCCATGTACGCCAGAATCTGTCCCCACCCTGCGGCAGGAACTTTGGAAATGGCTGCAAGGCCATTGGGGACATCGGCAAACTTCAATCCTGCTGATGGCGACAGAAAACCTGGGAACTTGCCCGTGATCCTTGGTCAGCCATACACCATCCAATGCAACGTCATCATGTACTCAAGAAAATCTTGTGACATGCACGCTGCACGGCTCACAAGATCTCACTCGAGCAACGTGAGACAGCCCTAATGCAACACGCATGCAGAACGAACTATATCGAATTCATGACAGGACGGGAGTGATGTATCCCAAACGCAACACGCACGCAGAACGAACTACATGTCATCTGAGTCGCTCTGGCGTGATGTATCCCATTGTCGCGAGCATGGCGATGCGACCGTGCTTGATTTCAGTCTGGCGACGACGCTTGAAGTCCTCCACGCTTCCGTCGGCCGTAAAACCGGCGGGGTCCCAAAATCCAACAGGATCCTGGACACCGAGCTCGTTCTCAAAGGCACGCAGCGGCGAGGCGGTGTAGTTGGCCCAATCACCCCACGCACTGCCAGTGAGTCCATCCTTCACATTGACAACGCGCTGCGACGTGCAGCATAAGGAAACAAGCTGAATGCAACAGCCAGCAACTAGTTAGCTGCTAACGCATGCTCATGCAACGTTGGACAAGCTTGTCTCATGTCACGTGTCCTGAAAGAACATGCCGATGATGGCCATCATCGCAAGCCTTCCGTTGGCCAACTCCGCTGACAATTTTTTCGTCTTCTCAGCGGGGTCGCTGGACGTCAAGACCTTGAACCCGAAGTCACCGGCGGCGGCCGGAGTTCCGGCAGACTGATCCTGAGAGACCTCGCAGAAGGCCATGTACGCCAGAATCTGTCCCCACCCTGCGGCAGGAACTTTGGAAATGGCTGCAAGGCCATTGGGGACATCGGCAAACTTCAATCCAGCTGATGGCGACAGAAAACCTGGGAACTTGCCCGTGATCCTTGGTCAGCCATACACCATCGTGCAATGCAACGTCATCATGTACTCAAGAAAATCTTGTGACATGCACGCTGCACGGCTCACAAGATCTCAATCGAGCAACGTGAGACAGCCCTAATGCAACGCATGCAGAACGAACTATATGTCATCTGAGTCGCTCTGGCGTGATGTATCCCATTGTCGCGAGCATGGCGATGCGGCCGTGCTTGATTTCAGTCTGGCGACGACGCTTGAAGTCGTCCACGCTTCCGTCGGCCGTAAAACCGGCGGGGTCCCAAAATCCAACAGGATCCTGGACACCGAGCTCGTTCTCGAAGGCACGCAGCGGCGAGGCGGTGTAGTTGGCCCAATCACCCCAAGCGCTGCCAGTGAGTCCATCCTTCACATTGACAGCGCGCCGCGACGTGCAGCAGAAGGAAACAAGCTAAATGCAACAGCTGGTGTTAGTCACTAGCGCATGCTCATGCAACGTTGGACAAGTTTGTCTCATGTCACGTGTCCTGAAAGAACATGCCGATGATGGCCATCATCGCAAGCCTTCCGTTGGCCAACTCCGCTGACAATTTTTTCGTCTTCTCAGCGGGGTCGCTGGACGTCAAGACCTTGAACCCGAAGTCACCGGCAGCGGCCGGAGTTCCGGCAGACTGATCCTGAGAGACCTCGCAGAAGGCCATGTACGCCAGAATCTGTCCCCACCCTGCGGCAGGAACCTTGGAAATGGCTGCAAGGCCATTGGGGACATCGGCAAACTTCAATCCTGCTGATGGCGACAGAAAACCTGGGAACTTGCCCGTGATCCTTGGTCAGCCATACACCATCGTGCAATGCAACGCCATCATGTACTCAAGAAAACCTTGTGACATGTACGCTGCACTCCTCACAAGACCTTACTCGAGCACGTGAGACAGCCCTAACGCAACACGCACGCAGAACGAATTATATGTCATCTGAGTCGCTCTGGCGTGATGTATCCCATTGTCGCGAGCATGGCGATGCGGCCGTGCTTGATTTCAGTCTGGCGACGACGCTTGAAGTCCTCCACGCTTCCGTCGGCCGTAAAACCGGCGGGGTCCCAAAATCCAACAGGATCCTGGACACCGAGCTCGTTCTCGAAGGCACGCAGCGGAGAGGCGGTGTAGTTGGCCCAATCACCCCAAGCGCTGCCAGTGAGTCCATCCTTCACATTGACAGCGCGCTGCGACGTGCAGCATAAGTAAACAAGCTGAATGCAACAGCTGGTGTTAGTGACTAACGCACGCTCATGCAACGTTGGACAAGTTTGTTTCATGTCACGTGTCCTGAAAGAACATGCCGATGATGGCCATCATTGCAAGCCTTCCGTTGGCCAACTCCGCTGACAATTTTTTCGTCTTCTCAGCGGGGTCGCTGGACGTCAAGACTTTGAACCCGAAGTCACCGGCTGCGGCCGGAGTTCCGGCAGACTGATCCTGAGAGACCTCGCAGAAGGCCATGTACGCCAGAATCTGTCCCCACCCTGCGGCAGGAACCTTGGAAATGGCTGCAAGGCCATTGGGGACATCGGCAAACTTCAATCCTGCTGATGGCGACAGAAAACCTGGGAACTTGCCCGTGATCCTTGGTCAGTCATACACCATCGGGCAATGCAAAGTCATCATGTACTCAAGCAAAACCTTGAGACGTGCACGCTGCACGGCTAACAAGATCTCACTAGAGCACGTGAGACAGGCCTAACGCAACACGCATGCAGAACGAACTACATGTCATCTGAGTCGCTCTGGCGTGATGTATCCCATTGTCGCGAGCATGGCGATGCGGCCGTGCTTGATTTCAGTCTGGCGACGACGCTTGAAGTCCTCCACGCTTCCGTCGGCCGTAAAACCGGCGGGGTCCCAAAATCCAACAGGATCCTGGACACCGAGCTCGTTCTCGAAGGCACGCAGCGGCGAGGCGGTGTAGTTGGCCCAATCACCCCACGCACTGCCAGTGAGTCCATCCTTCACATTGACAACGCGTTGCGACGTGCAGCATATGTAAACAAGCTAAATGCAACAGCTGGTCTTAGTGACTAACGCATGCTCATGCAACGTTGGACAAGTTTGTCTCATGTCACGTGTCCTGAAAGAACATGCCGATGATGGCCATCATCGCAAGCCTTCCGTTGGCCAACTCCGCTGACAATTTTTTCGTCTTCTCAGCGGGGTCGCTGGACGTCAAGACCTTGAACCCGAAGTCACCCGCTGCGGCCGGAGTTCCGGCAGACTGATCCTGAGAGACCTCGCAGAAGGCCATGTACGCCAGAATCTGTCCCCACCCTGCGGCAGGAACCTTGGAAATGGCTGCAAGGCCATTGGGGACATCGGCAAACTTCAATCCTGCTGATGGCGACAGAAAACCTGGGAACTTGCCCGTGATCCTTGGTCAGTCATACACCATTGGGCAATGCAAAGTCATCATGTACTCAAGAAAAACCTTGTGACGTGCACGCTGCACGGCTAACAAGATCTCACTATAGCAACGTGAGACAGCCCTAACGCAACGCATGCAGAACGAACTATATGTCATCTGAGTCGCTCTGGCGTGATGTATCCCATTGTCGCGAGCATGGCGATGCGGCCGTGCTTGATTTCAGTCTGGCGACGACGCTTGAAGTCCTCCACGCTTCCGTCGGCCGTAAAACCGGCGGGGTCCCAAAATCCAACAGGATCCTGGACACCGAGCTCGTTCTCGAAGGCACGCAGCGGAGAGGCGGTGTAGTTGGCCCAATCACCCCAAGCGCTGCCAGTGAGTCCATCCTTCACATTGACAGCGCGCTGCGACGTGCAGCATAAGGAAACAAGCTGAATGCAACAGCTGGTGATAGCAGCTAACGCATGCTCATGCAACGTTGGACAAGTTTGTCTCATGTCACGTGTCCTGAAAGAACATGCCGATGATGGCCATCATTGCAAGCCTTCCGTTGGCCAACTCCGCTGACAATTTTTTCGTCTTCTCAGCGGGGTCGCTGGACGTCAAGACCTTGAACCCGAAGTCACCGGCTGCGGCCGGAGTTCCGGCAGACTGATCCTGAGAGACCTCGCAGAAGGCCATGTACGCCAGAATCTGTCCCCACCCTGCGGCAGGAACCTTGGAAATGGCTGCAAGGCCATTGGGGACATCGGCAAACTTCAATCCTGCTGATGGCGACAGAAAACCTGGGAACTTGCCCGTGATCCTTGGTCAGCCATACACCATCGTGCAATGCAACGGCATCATGTACTCAAGAAAACCTTGTGACATGCACGCTGCACGGCTCACAAGATCTCAATCGAGTACGTGAGACAGCCCTAACGCAACATGCACGCAGAACGATTTACATGTCATCTGAGTCGCTCTGGCGTGATGTATCCCATTGTCGCGAGCATGGCGATGCGGCCGTGCTTGATTTCAGTCTGGCGACGACGCTTGAAGTCCTCCACGCTTCCGTCGGCCGTAAAACCGGCGGGGTCCCAAAATCCAACAGGATCCTGGACACCGAGCTCGTTCTCGAAGGCACGCAGCGGCGAGGCGGTGTAGTTGGCCCAATCACCCCAGGCACTGCCAGTGAGTCCATCCTGGAAGAACCTCAACATGCAAGCAGTTCAACAAGGTCGGCAAGAGCGTCCTCGAACTTGTTACGCAGGCTTCTTTTGAAGGAGGCAACTTTGGGGAACTCTGGTCTGCAGCCCCGGAGCATGCCGATGATGGCCATCATCGCCAGTCGGCCATTTGCCAACTCGGCACTCCTCTCACGCCCACCCCCTCCCCCGCTGCTTTTTGAGATCACGCCAAAGCACACGAAAATTGAAAAAGAGGTCGCCCGAAAGCCCTTCTGAAGACACGACCCAGGCTCAGCTTCTTGGTCTTCTCGGCCGGGTCGCTGGAGGTGAGAACCTTGAAGCCGAAGTCTCCAGCATAGGCCGCGGTGCCCGGCTCCTGCGTCTGGGAGGCCTCGGGCTTCTCCAAGAGATGCAAAACGTGCGGCACTGCCACGTGCAAGGCCCTAACCGTGTGTTGCAGTGGCTAACCAAACTTGAGGCAGCGTTGGCTCTTCTTTTTCCACACACATGCATTCATAGAAAGCATAGAGGATGGTTCAGGATGCAGAAAACACAGGACTCCTGTGATCCGGCCTCGCAGTAGGCCATGTACAGCAGGATCTGGCCCCAACCAGCCTGGGGCACCTTTGCAGACTGCGAGGGGAGAAGGGGACCATAAGCCAAAGGGGGACCTGAGGGGGCAAAAGAGGGGGCGTAAGATGAAGAAGTGCAAAGATTCGGAAAGTGGATCGCGTCTCAATGACTCAAGGCTGGCTTGCCGTGTTCTTGAGAACGAGCAAAGCGACTGATGAATGAGCCTAAGGCATGTTACCAATCACTTGGATTGTCGTTTGCAGCTTCTTCGCCCCAACAAACCCCCACAAACCCCCTGCGACCCCTCCCCCCACCCCCGTGCACCTTGGAGATGGCTGCCAAGCCATTGGGCACGTCGGCGAACTTCAGGCCGGCAGATGGGCTCAAGTACCCTGGGAACTTGCCCGTGATCCTCAGACCAAGACGCGGCGGCCAGCTTCACTTGTCTGCTGGGTCTCATGTCGGAGAACCGCTCCTTTACTGGGGGGAAGACGGACGGACAGACTTCAATGCGCAAGGAATGCTGCAAAGGGTGCCGCAAGGATGCCGCAAAGGATGCCGCAAACAACAAGATTTGGGACAGACAGACAGACACACAGACAGACTGACAGACAACGGGTGTTTCCTTAGCTGCCCAAGCCCCATGCACTGCATCAGACGAAACCAAACAACAAATCTACCAAGCAGCCCACCCTCCGTTCTGAACGTCATGGCTCGCGAACCACACTGTGAAACAATCAGTACACACGTTAAAGCACAGGGATGCCGACAAAGCTACGTTACCCGAGACACTGAGACTCAGCACTCGACCCTAACGGACAGGCACGCGGCCTGTCCCCACCTGGCCGTGGGACATGCCCCGGCTTTGCCGATGTGTGTCGTGCACCGTGGCGGGAATTTCAGGGTTAAAACTTCCGCATCCCGTCGGGCTTTATCATCAAGCGAGTTCGAGCCGAACGCCAGCTATGGACGTGAATGAGGAAGGAGTCGCAGGGGTGTAGTTCGCAACGCGTGACCAATTCCCAGAATACCCAAATACATGTGGTTCGTCCGACTGCCCACCCAAAACAGTCCGACACAATCATCCCCGCGGCTTTGGGCGGAACCCTTCAGCTTGCGCATCCGGGCCCCAACACCCAAAACCGACGAGCTGAGACCATTGCACAACGGTACCACACACGGACAATTCACTGGAGACTACCGTAAGAGTTGTGGGTCCCGTTGCCTCCCCATCGAGCGACCGATACACGAACCTGGATCGATGGCGAGCACCATAAGGCATGGGCTATCAAGGGGGGGCTGTGTGCTGAGATCGGCTGTGCCGACATTGTCCCGTTCCGCTTGGCATGACCATGTCACATGTTAAATGCACTCCACGGCCGTCGAAGCTTGTTTACATCGAAGCCCCCTGTTTCCGGCGATCACCACGAGGAGGTGCCCCACATTGATCGCCCAACAAAATTTGGGACAGGACAGGACAGGACAGGTCAGGTGTTTGGTTTGGCGACTACACGTACCTGGACCAGCAGAGCGACAAGCCCAAGCCAAAGAGAAAATGCAAATCAAAGTCGCCCACCTCCCGCTCACCCATCTGAAAAAAGGCATCCATAGCGAGCGTGCGCCTACGGTCACATCGATCTACAAAGGTCCCGGCACACCCCTTGTCGAACAGGTAAAAGCAGAAACATAGTAAGGAGGGGTCGGGCTTGCCTTAGTTGGTGTTGGCACGTGGCCAAAACACCGCCACAAGGGGATCGTGTCCCCCTGCTCACATCGGCTAGTCGTGCCAGCCGATCCCTTGACAGGCAAAATCCGAGTCAACGGAGACCAAAAGTGGACGTGTCGACGCCACGAACCCGCTAAGTTTTCGTAGAAGCTGTAAACAGGCCCGATCTCGCCGATTCCGAACCAACTGAAAACGACGACCCACTCGCAACCGCATGTGAACAAACGAGTGAGGGTACTCTGGGGTGAAGTTACCACAAAACCTCGAGAAGAACTTGACCGAGAGTATCTTCGTCCGGCAGCCCACCCAGGAAAACTGCCCGACGCGACACCGCTTCGAAAGAAGGCGGCGGAGGCACTCCAAGAGCACCCCCCCCCCCAACACCTTCCCTCGAACAAGAGTGAAGCAAGACCGCAAGATTAGCGGATGCCGTTAAGAGAATTGGCGGCACTCGTCACCCAATCGGTAGCAAAAAAGGCACACCAAACTGTAACCAACCAAAGTGACAAGGGTGACACCCCTCAGGGTATGTAGTTGGTCTCAGTATGTCTCAGTAGGGGCACTACCTTTAGTTGAGTCCCTTCCCTCGCCCACGTGGAGGACTCCGCCATCGGGGAAGCAACAAAATTTGGGACAAGAAAATTTGGGACGGGTAGCTCTGGGGTGATGTAGCCCATCGTTGCCAGCATCGCCTCAGGCACTTCGGGTCTTCGTGCGGAGATGTCGGCAGAATTGTTCCAGGCTAGGATGCTTTGGGGGGGCGGGGGGGGGAGGCACTCGAGCGTGCAGCGGAGAATCAAGCAACCCGAAAGACCTCTGTCATCTGCAAACCCTGTATCACATGGGTACCATACTCTCCACAGGAGATCCCGGTGCGCACAAACCAGGGAAGCTTGTGGACGTGCGTATTTGCAATGTTCATGAATACGATGTGCGAATTTGGGCGAACATGAGCGAATCCTCGCGGCACGGATGCAGCCCAGTTGCAATGCGCCCGTGCTTGAGCTCGGTGGCCCGTCGGCGCTTGAAGTTCTCTACGCTGCCGTCCGCACCTGCACACGGGGCGGCGGGTTCGGCGTTCTCGGTTTGCACGGAGGCGCTAAAGGCAAGCGCCGGCCCTGAAACTCAAACCACGATCCCAAACCCTCCAACGCCAGCCAAGGCGCTCAGGCCAGCGGGGTCCCAGAAGCCCACGGGCGCCTGCGCAGCTCATGACAGTTCGGAAGGTGCGTGGAAGGCTTCATGTTCTGAACCGGTCTAAAGTGTCAACTGGCTTCCTCTAGGGCGACACAACGGCACGCAAACCTCTCTGGATTTCTCTGACCTACGCCTGCGCTCTATCGGTAGTCCTAGCGATGTCAGCCGCACGAGCCAGTGTCCAAAAATGTCCAAGAAGAAAGGAGACCGTGGACCTGAACGCCGAGCTCGCTCTCAAAGGCGCTGACGACCACCTGTGGCAGAAGGTCCCTTTGGGGGGTCCCTTGAAGGTCCTTTGCGGTCCTCTGCTTCTGATGCTGGGCACATCACTAGCACTTCAGGATACTTCTTGGATCTTCTTGGGGTCTTTCTGATTCTTCTTGGGGCACAGGCACAAAGGAGAGGCCCGCCCCACTTCCAGCCCAGAGCACCAGCCCAAAGCAGGCCCCCCCCGTCGCACCTGGGACTTGCGGCTGCTGGCCTGCACTTGGAATTCTTTGGGCTGAGCGAGGTAAACCAGAACCGATAACCCCACATGCTCCAGTCATGTACCCCCAAGGCGTGGGGCTCCCCATCCGCACTCAGAGCCCACTCCGAAAACCCTACCATCTCAGAAAAGAATCGCCCCATACATCACCCGACCCTAACTACGTCTCGCAACCCGAGCCCCGAACCTGAGAGAACCTCCCCCTCAAACCCCCCGGTCCTTGCCACGGAGCTGCGCTGCCAGGAGGGCCTGCAGCGCGAGCGGGGCGACCCAACCCGAAGCCCCCGAGACACACGCACGCCCCGGCGACCATCGAAGTGCTCCCTGAGAACGCTCCCTGAGAACGCTGAGCGGCTGATGCCGAAGCCACGGTCGTGCAGCCAAGAAGGCTTGAGGAGCTGCTGCCTGGTCTGAGGTCCAGGAGCGCAAACATTCGGGGCTCTACGAAAAGTAAAATTAGACCATTTTCGCGCTTTGGCAAAAGAGGCTGACTGCGCCTTCGGCACTCCTCTGCGCCGCTACTCGGCCGCGCAGCTGAACGCTGCTTCGCTCCGGGGCAGCCTGCGCTCAGTGTCAGGCACGCTGACAAAACGGTGTGTCTGTGTGTGTGTGTGGTTTGTGTGTGTGTGTGTGTGTGTCTGTGTGTGTGTGTGTGTGTGTTTGTGTGTGTGTGGGTGCGTGTGTGTGTGTGTGTGTGTAACTGTGTGTGTGTGTGTAACTGTGTGTGTGTGTGTAACTCTGTGTGTGTGTGTAACTGTGTGTGTGTGTAACTGTGTGTGTGTGTGTG